CTTCCCCCATTACTAAACATAAGCTTCGCAAAAATTTCTGTGTTCAGTCATGGAATATTCAACTTTTATTTAATTAAACTTAATTAAAACACAATTCTACGTTGTATTGCATTGTAATTGAGTTTAATTAAAAAAACAACCCTATATAAAAAAGCGTTCATGTCGCAACTATATTAAAAATTAATCCAATGTGTGGCATTACAACTAAGGTTACACCTGCATGCCTGTGCACGCATGTACGTTCTCAAAAATCAATTACCAGATTTCAATGGAACTTGGTAAATAGATGTTCACATCTGATTAGTTGTTCATACCTAATAATTACCTAATTTGCATAATAATTAACTCTTTTCCACTACTATTTAGAAAACTAACTATTGCTTTTCAATGAAATGTTGATGCTCAGGAACAATGTGCAGACAGGATTTGCTTGGGGTTGAAAAATGCATACCTAATTTTCCATTTTCTAGCTTTCATAAATTTTGCATAAAAAGAATCATTGCAATTCATAGAAAATTGCTTGTTTAGTTTTAGGTTGAAAATAGTGATCTAGTAGTACTTAACAGACTTCAAGCTTGCAATATTTGGCATACCACAAAACCATAGATGTAAAATCAATTTCTTTTATTTCGTTACAAATTTTCTAGTATCATCAATTTCAATTCTGTGGTTCACATTGCTACCACATTGTGCAGCTAAAAAAGCAAAGGCTACTTGTTTTGTAGTCTTAATTTGTATTCTCCCTTCAGATTTAGTTCCAAAAATGAAGTTCTGTCTTTTGCAACATTGTGTATGTGTTCTTGCTGTGTACATTCTTGTTGCAAAACAATGAACTATAGGTTGTTTCCGTCTGTTGTAGTTGTTGCTTGAACTTGCAAATGACATTATTCCTTTTGATTTCTATTTCTTTAATTCTTTCTTTCTAGTCAAGAAGAACAAATCGTAAGAAGAGGTTGTGATGAGTCAGTACTGAATATATTTCATACTCGCTGTACAGGTTGACTGCAACATAAACTGGTTGCTGTACAGGTTGACTGCAACATAAACTGATTGCTGTACAGATTGATTGCAACATAAACTGATTGCTGTACAGATTGATTGCAACATAAACTGATTGCTGTACAGGTTGACTGCAACATAAACTGATTGCTGTACAGGTTGACTGCAACATAAACTGATTGCTGTACAGGTTGACTGCAACATAAACTGTTTGCTGTACAGGTTGACTGCAACATAAACTGTTTGCTGTACAGGTTGACTGCAACATAAACTGATTGCTGTACAGGTTGACTGCAACATAAACTGATTGCTGTACAGGTTGCCCTGACCTAAGTGGTTCTTTTTATTTTAGTTTCCAAATTTTTAATGTGTTATGATTTAATAATTTGTATTGTATATTTGTGTGAACATATTTTTTTTAAGAGAATAACCATCAAAATAATTTGGAGGCTGGAACCAATAATGTATTATAGTTGCCAAGGAAATCTTCTGACATGTAAATGCCATTTAGTTCACATCCCAGGATCACAAATTGTCTTGTTTTTTTAGATGAGAAATGTGTTTGACTTTCCCAGAGATATTACTTTCTTTTCTGAAATATGGTTGTTTAAAAAAATTAAAATTATTCAATATTGAATGTACAAGTTTGTAAATTATGTTAATTCTGTTGACGCATTGAAACTGAATGATGCCTTTATTCTCTATTCAACTCAGGAGTGTGCTGTACAGGCTGTTTATGTCAAGCGTTGTTGGAATTACATGAAATTCAATTTTATGATAGTTTTTTCGGCTTTTGTGGTCGCCTTCGTTTGGCTTGTTGAATTGCTGAATGCTTGTCTGAGCACACCTATTGCCAGGTCAATATTACTCTGTGCTATGCTTGTCTGAACACACCTAGTGCCAGGTCAATATTACTCTGTGCTATGGTTGTCTGAACACACCTAGTGCCAGGTCAATATTACTCTGTGCTATGCTTGTCTGAGCACACCTAGTGCCAGGTCAATATTAATCTGTGCTATGCTTGTCTGAACACACCTAGTGCCAGGTCAATATTACTCTGTGCTATGCTTGTCTGAACACACCTAGTTCCAGGTCAATATTACTCTGTGCTATGGTTGTCTGAACACACCTAGTGCCAGGTCAATATTACTCTGTGCTATGCTTGTCTGAACACACCTAGTGCCAGGTCAATATTACTCTGTGCTATGCTTGTCTGAACACACCTAGTGCCAGGTCAATATTAATCTGTGCTATGCTTGTCTGAACACACCTAGTGCCAGGTTAATATTAATCTGTGCTATGATTGTCTGAACACACCTAGTGCCAGGTCAATATTAATCTGTGCTATGCTTGTCTGACACACCTAGTGCCAGGTTAATATTAATCTGTGCTATGGTTGTCTGACACACCTAGTGCCAGGTTAATATTAATCTGTGCTATGGTTGTCTGACACACCTAGTGCCAGGTCAATA